GCCTTAGGTTGCCTACCCCTGCACTACAGTCTCAGGCTTGGAGAGAACCGAATCATGTAAAAACCATCCAATCCGTTATTATCAATAAATGATAAAAAATTCCTAAGGTAAGATGAATCACAGGCAACCTAAACTAGAGATTTTCCTGCAGACTTCACTTTCTCTGTCGGAATGAAGATCATTTGTTCCCTTTTTCTTAACATAGCAGCAACAGCTACTTTATAAATGTCTTCTCCAAGAAATATTTTTTCTAGCATTTTTATAAAGTATTTTAAGATAGCCTGGAGCTGAGACTTTTCCTTCTTACCACCCCAGTCTCTTATAGTTAATGCTTCACTTGAACTAACTTATAGTAAATACTTGGCTTGTATGAAAGCTTGATGCCTCTGAGAAGTGAATACATCTGATGGCCAAAACTGATGTGATGTAGGAGAAGAGCTTGTCAAAATTATTTTGGGGGACTAAAAATCACAAGGGGAAAAATGACCAACAGTACACATGCACAGGAAACAAGAAAGAGCAAAATGGGAGAGGGGCAGAGATACTCTTGGGGGGGGGGGGGGGTTGCAGACTGCCAGAAATAGTGCAAATTGAGTCCACTTTTAGGGTTAGTGTTAGTGTTAGGGAATCATGGGAATTGTGCTTTTTTTCTGAGACATTGAGCCTTCTCTATCAGAGAGCTCTGGTGCCACAATAAACTACAGTTCCCATGACTCCCTAACCCTAACCCTAACCCTAACCCTAAAAGTGGACTCAATTTGCACTATTTCTGGCAGTCTGCAACCCCCCTTAGTCTTCCTAGGGAAAAAGAAAATTCAGGCAATTGAATTCAGTTATTACACCACATTGGTTTTGGCTTTGAGATAATTGTTTAAGAATCTGAAGCTCCAAAGTGTCATCTGAGCTTTTAGGCTCATAAGCTCTACTTGGCATCACAATCTAACAGCTTTTGCAAGGAACTCAAAAAGGGTAAATCTGTTTTACAATGTAGGTGTCGAGAAAGCGTGTTTCAATTGGAGCATTTATTTTCTGCTAAATCTCTAAGAGAAGGTTCCCCCCTCCCAAGCTATAATGTATTATAAAGATATTTAACATCCCCAAGTTGTACCACATGTTGGAAAATTCTTGCATTTACAAACTCAGTTATTTTATGAGTCTATTTTATTGAATTTATAGTTTCCACATGGAAAATGCCCTATAGGATGACTTATTCCCATTCATATTTGCAGTTTCGCTTTCTCATTGCTCTTTGTCAGCTGCAGCTCTCGAGCCAATTGCCAATGTTATCAGAGTTAGTTGTTATTGTTGTGTGCCTATCACAGAGTTTTCTTGGTAAGATTTATTCAGAGGGGATTTGCCATTGCCTTACTGAAGCTAAGGGAGTGTGGCTTGCCCAAGGTCACCCAATGGGTTTCCATGATTGAGTGGGGATTCAAACCCTGTTTTTTAGAATCATAGTCCAACACTCAAACCACTACACCACACTAGCTCTCAAACCAGCTACCAGGAGTGGGCCATGACCCATGCAGACATATATCCATTAGACTTACCATTTTTAGACGTACATTTTAAAAAACACAATTTCAGTAAAGGCATGAAAAAAATTGAAGAGAAAATGTAATTCTGTAACAGGGGTTGGCAATATCTGGGGTGGACTACATTGCCCCCTCCAAACCCATCAAGGGCCACATCTTGCTGCCATCACTGTACCATAAACCTATTACTGCACCACTGCCTTACAGCTGTGCAGCATCAAAAAAAAAATTCCCCAGATTTCTTTGTTAAAAAAAGTGTCCAGGCAAGGCTACCCAATTAATGATGCAACTGGAGCAGCTGCTTCAGGGCATTCAGTGACTAGGAGCCCCATGCTACTGTTGGCATCATACAAAAGGGTATGCATTTCTTGTTGCTGTCAAGAAGGAAATGGTCCTGGGAAGGAGGAGCTGAAGCTCTTTCTCCCCCCTTGTGTCCTCTCCAAAGGTCGGGAGCATTTATGACCATTCTGGCTTTAGAGAAAGTGAAGGCCAGTATGTTGATTTGCTGCCTATGAAACTTGGGCCTTGATGACACCAGCTGGGACCCAGACAGGGACAGGTCTCCTGCCAATCCCACCCCTCCTTTGGAACTAAAAGAAGAGCTTTCACATAGGGTGAAAGGGCAAGGTCCTCTTTCTGGAACTGCTCCAGAGCCTGAACCAGCTTAATCCAGTTTATTCAAAGAACATGTGTCCTGCTTTATAGCAGAATTGTGTTCCTGATGGAACAATGGTGAATTTGGCAGTGATGTGGGGGTGTCAAGCCCAGTTCCCAAGATTCAGGTTCAGACTATGATGCAGACAGGGAAACAGAAGGACAGGGGGATGTACCAGTGCTTGAGACAGACAGAAACACTCCCCAGCAGCTACAGAACACAGACATGGACTTGACAATACCTACCACAGCCAAACACAGTCAAGAAAGGGAGAAGCTGTGGTGTTTAGAGCACTTAAACAGGAAACACTCATTAATCAGACAACAGCTGTGAGAGGCTACCAGACCATAAATATTCCAAAAACTCCTTTGGGAGGTTGTTGCTGATAACAAACTATTCTGGAGGAAGCAATGCTTTCATCTTTTGGGAGTCTATTGCACAGCATTTAAATGGCATTTAAAGTGACTTATCCCAGTCACATTTAATTCTGAAGTCAGATCCTATCGCACACATCGGGGGCCAGGAGAGTGCAACCCAGCTGCATCCTGGACCCCAGCTGCACTTATCCAGTATCTTTTTAAAAACTATTTTTAAAAAGATACTGGATAAGTGCAGCTGGGGTCTAGGATGGAGCTGGGTTGTAATCATCTGGCCCTTGGAGTGTGGTATAGGATCCAGCTTCAGAATTAAATGTGACTGGGGTAAATCACTTTAAACACCATTTAAATAAACCTCTTGATTCCTGGCTCATATTTCTGAAGAACTTTGGATTCTACATTGCAAGGTGACCATGATATGTTGATTTATTTATGGTGGTGTTGTATTAGCAGAGATCTGCTCTGGAATGCCAGGCTTACATCCATCAGCCACCTTTGTCTCTGGATCAGAGCTGATTTCACCTTCCTGGAATGCAGCCATCCTTCAGGTCTCTGTAGATTCAAGCTTTTCATTAAGCCAGACCAGAGCAAAGATTCTTCTAAGAAGGCTTTTTATTCATGATTGCATAGTAAAGAGAAAAGTATATATACATCCATCTTAATGCAGGTAGAGATATAAGATGGAGAGATCCAACACACACACAACATAGTGCATAATTTGTAAGAACAATACAGGCTCCAAGCCAAACCCCAAACTCCTCCCATGGGTGGATACCTCTATAGTCAATTTGCTGAATAGCCTCTAACCCAGCCTCTTGCTGTGAGTCATGTGTCATGTGATCCTGGTTCCCAGACAACAAGGAAGATCTAATTGTTTATGTTCTATCTTCTTATGTTCTCAAACCACTGACCTTGTGTGAGTTCTGTTTACACTTGCCACCTGCAGGCCCAAAATCTTTCCAATAGAAATTTTCCCACATCTGTACATTTCCACTTTAACTACACATCCCAACACTCCTAACAGATACTCCCTTGGATTTATTTCTGTAACCTACGGACTTGGTCTATCTGGACTCTGAGAATCTAAGACTGGTTGCTCCTGTATAAGACTGGTGCTGCTTCTGCAAAGTCTGACCAACTTTGCTTATTGCTTTGCCCCTGGCTGGCCTCCAGATAAAGGGCGAGGTTGGAGGAGCATGTGACCAGTGGGGCACAGGTTGCCTGCCCTGATTAAAACAAAGGTAGTCATGTTTTATGTTGTAATCAATCAAGGTGATCAAAAGAATTATACACATTGGGGCTGCCATCCATCAGCCCCTCAGCATAGCAGCAATATCTGCATGCAAAAATATGCTAAACCAGCATTGCACTATTTGGATGCAGATTAGCAACATTGTACAGCACAAGACAATGCTGCTGGATGCTGCTTTATAATGTACAATGTGCAATAACAATTGAAACCCCAATGCACAGTGTTGCTGTAGGTGCAGCTCCACATCTGCTGCTATCAGCATAATGTGTCTATTACACAATAGTGAATAATTCACCCTCCAATCATAGCACAACTTACCCACACATATGTCACAATGTCTACAATAACTCATGGTCAGTAAGATTCTAGTGCCAGTTGTCCTCAGTGCTCAGGGCAGTCAGCAAAGAAACTGTTCCTACCATTGCAGTATTGGAGGTATTACTATTTTCTATTTCAGCCCATTCATTAGTATAGCTTGAGATTTAGTCCAGTTTGCACAACCATTTTTCTTCTAGCACACAGTTTAGGAAGCTGGCTCTCAAAACATTCTGCCCACTGGAAAATTGCCAGTCATGTAAGATTTCTGTTTGATATAATCCCTTCACCTCGGCAAGATGCAGAGAAGATTTATCACAGTCTGAAAAAGCCAGGACATACATGGCCTTCCAGATCACTTCTGAGTTATTGATTTAAAAAAAAAAAACAACTATGTTGACTTTCCTTAAAATTCCCTGAAGGAAAGTAACCACATACACCAAAGGTTTAAGCAAAATCCATCAGTCCTCTAAAAATTCTAGGAAAGGGGGTTCCACCTGAATATAAGGAAGAATTTTCTAACAGTAAGTACTGTTTGAAGTGGAATATGCTGCCTCAGAGTGTGGTGAAGTAAACAGAGGCTAGATGGCATCTGTTGGGAGCAATTGCCTATAAACAAAGATGTCATCAGGGCTCAGGATCAGGCTAAAGATATGCAGTTAAACAGGTGTCTTCTTGCATGGCAGGGGGTTGACTAGATGGCCCTGGTGGCCTCTTCCCACTCTATGATCATATGATTCTATACTTCTCCAGACCATCCTTAGGAATGTTCACTAAACTTCCTGATATCTTTTTGTGATCCATTGGAATTCTTCAGGTGACATTAGGCAAAGCGAGGAAACTGCCTCAAGAAGCAGATTGGGAGGATCACAAAGTGGCAGTGACTTTTTAGTTTATTCACTTTGTTATTTGTGTATTCTTACTGCTGGAGATGGGGAGGTATGTTTAACCTGAACATATTAACCTGACCAGATGGTTGTGCCATTTGATGCTCTCCCCTGAGCAGTAACATGTCTTGGACCAACCCTGTCAAAAAGTAAGCCTTAAATACTCACTGGATTTAACTTCAGGTGTCATTTTAATGGCAGTCCTAGTGAGTATGAGCCCTTATGCAGTTAAAAATGGCCTTTGGTGTGCCATCCAATGTGAAAAGTTTTCTAGGTTTTCTTTCCTACCTATGTGAGTAAGCATAATGTTTTGTTTTTTCTTAAGGAAGGCAGGCAGGCAGGCCACTGTTCAAAAAGTGTAGTCAAACAGGTCTCCAGACATTTTTCTGCCTTTGGCTCAGAGCCATGGACTTGCAGGAAAGGACAAGAGTTTTCATGAGACTGCACTACGTAATATATTAACCAGGTCATGCTAAATAAGTGTAGGTCAAAGGTGAGTTGATGGAAACCTAGTGAGGTTCTAAATTTAGCCATACCATCTGCCCTTGTCGTGAAGGATATATATTTTAGGCCCCAGGTCCTGGGAAGCCATTGTAATTGCATACCACTTGAAAGGGGTGCAAGAAGTGCACAATATTTTCCATGGTGATTTCATAGTCACATTTTCAAATGACCTTCCCCACTCTACCCCCATCTCCACAGCTGACATGCTATCCCACTGTTCAGCCCTGAGGCAAAAACAACGCTTCCAAGAAGGCAAGGTAGAACAGAACTTGGCACAAGCAGAAAATAAATGAAATGATGACTTTTGTAGATGCATCTAAATGTGGGTTGAAACTGAAATACCATTCCAGCAGTCACATTTCAAAGCCTATCAATAACATACCCTCCAACCCAAATTAATGCTCTGCTATCCCCTTTTTTCAGCTGCTCTAAAAGTATCCCAGTTTCTCTTTCCTCCTCCCACTTTTCCTTTTAGTCCTCAACTTACTTCCACTGGTACAAATTTAGTTCAAAGTGCAAAAGTAATCTGCACTCAGTTAACTCAAGAGGGGAGAGCGGAGCGGAGGGGGCAGAATTTTACCCTTCCCACTAAGTTCAGGCAAAAGCAAACTGTTACAGCCTCTCCTAGCTTGTGTGATCTTTCTCCTTAAAAACTTTTGCCATCTTTACAACACTCTGATGTTGCTTTGTCTCATGTGTTTGAGGGTTTGATCTGTGAAATGTTGGAAAGTATGCACTATCCCAGGCCATCTTCTCCATTGTGTGTGTATGTGCCTTCAAGTCACTTGTTGACTTACAACAACCTCATGCATTACATATGGTTTTCTTAGGCAAGGATAACTCCAAGGTAGTTTAGCCAGTTGCTTCCTCTGAAATATAGCCCACATCACCTGGTATTTATTGGTGGTCTCCCATCCAAGTACTGGCCAGAGCTGACCATACTTAGCTTCCAAGATCAGATTCT